AGATAGTCCTCAGCAACAAGTTCCAGGCCTTTCATGATCTACTCAATGGAGAAGGAACTACTGTGGAGAGCAACTGGAAGGGGATCAAAGAGGCAATCACTTCAACATGTCATGAGGTCCTGGGTCACAAGAAGCACCATCACAAGGAATGGATCACTGTTGATACACTGGATAAGATTCAAGAAAGAGGAACAAGAAGGCAGCAATCAATACCAGTCGAACAAGAGCAGAAAAAGCCAAGGCACAAGCTGAATACACAGAAGTAAACAAACAAGTGAAGAGGAGCATCAGAACCGACAAACGTAAATATGTGGAAGATTTAGCAACGACGGCGGAAAAGGCTGCAAGAGAAGGAAACATGAGACAATTGTATGACACGACAAAGAAACTCTCTGGAAATCGCCGCAAACCAGAACGACCAGTGAAAAGCAAGGAAGGCGAGGTAATCACCAACATTGAAGAGCAACAAAACAGGTGGGTAGAACACTTCAAAGAACTCTTGAATCGACCAGCTCCACTGAACCCACCCAACATCGAAGCAGCACCCACGGACCTCCCAATCAATGTTGGCCCACCAACAATTGAAGAAATCAGCATGGCCATCAGACAAATCAAGAGTGGCAAAGCAGCAGGACCGGACAACATCCAGCAGAGGCACTAAAAGCAGACGTAGCGGCAACTGCAAGGATACTCCACATTCTCTTCAATAAGATTTGGGATGAGGAACAAGTACCAAAAGACTGGAAAGAAGGACTTCTGATCAAAATACCGAAGAAAGGCGATCTCAGCAACTGTGATAACTACAGGGGCATCACTCTTCTCTCAATACCGGGAAAAGTCTTCAACAGGGTATTGTTAAACAGGATGAAGGACTGCGTAGACGCCCAACTTCGTGACCAACAGGCAGGATTCCGTAAGGATAGATCGTGTACAGACCAAATCGCAACTCTACGGATCATTGTGGAACAATCAATTGAATGGAATTCATCACTCTACATCAACTTCATTGACTACGAAAAGGCATTTGATAGCGTGGACAGAACAACACTATGGAAACTTCTTCGACACTACGGCGTGCCTCAGAAGATAGTCAATATCATACAGAATTCATATGATGGATTACATTGCAAAATCGTGCATGGAGGACAGTTGACAAAGTCGTTCGAAGTGAAGACCGGTGTCAGGCAAGGTTGCTTACTCTCACCCTTTCTCTTTCTCCTGGTGATCGACTGGATCATGAAGACGTCAACGTCTGAAGGGAAGCACGGGATACAATGGACATCTAGGATGCAGTTGGACGATCTAGACTTCGCAGATGATCTGGCCCTTCTATCCCAAACGCAACAACAAATGCAGGAGAAGACGAACAGTGTGGCAGCAGCCTCAGCAGCAGTAGGTCTCAATATACACAAAGGGAAAAGCAGGATTCTCCGATACAACACAGAATGCACCAATCCAATCACAATTGACGGAGAAGATTTGGAAGATGTAAAAACCTTTACATATTTGGGCAGCATCATTGATGAACAGGGTGGATCTGATGCAGATGTGAAGGCGCGGATCGGCAAAGCAAGAGCAGCATATTTACAACTGAGGAACATCTGGAACTCAAAGCAACTGTCAACCAACACCAAGGTCAGGATTTTCAATACAAATGTCAAGACAGTTCTACTGTATGGGGCAGAAACCTGGAGAACTACGAAAGCCATCATCCAGAAAATACAGGTGTTTATTAACAGTTGTCTACGCAAAATACTTCAGATCCGTTGGCCGGACACTATTAGCAACAACGTACTGTGGGAGAGAACAAACCAGATCCCAGTGGAGGAAGAAATCAGGAAGAAGCGCTGGAAGTGGATAGGACACACATTGAGGAAAGCACCCAACTGCGTCACAAGACAAGCCCTCACATGGAATCCCCAAGGTCAAAGAAGAGAAGAGGAAGACCAAAGAACACATTACGCCGAGAAATGGAAATAGACATGAGAAAAATGAACAAGAATTGGATGGAACTAGAAAAGAAGGCCCAGGACAGAGTGGGTTGGAGAATGCTGGTCAGCGGCCTATGCTCCATTAGGAGTAACAGGCGTAAGTAACCAAGTACGGTTAGAATGAAAAAGTGAATGGGTATTGGATTTTAGAAATGTGGAAAAAATAATAACGCAGAGAAGTTGTTATATCCGAGTGGAGATTAAATTACAGGTAACTCCCGAGGACTATTAATGGACTAATATTCTATAAATATTCTTATTGTATAATTATTCAACAATTACATTACGTATATTTATATTCCTCTTATTATAAGCTTTATTTTGACCTATAATTTATTATTATACGATTTACGGTTCTTAATCTATGCTCAGCCTATTATTCACTGCCCCCTCGTGCACAGCCACTTTTTGGCTTATTTGTGTACACATGTTATTTTCTAATTTATGGTGCGTTGTGGTCTGTCTGGTTGATATATAACCGAGTATGTTTGAAATAAACGATCTGCTCTGATTCGAAGCTGGTATTGTGTTCTGGACTCAAGTGGCTTGTAGGACATAGGACCAATAAGGACGCTAGACTGCCCGCACCGGTTGAACGTCATTGGTTGGCCTAGTGTCAAGATCCGTATAAGTCGTATCCGGATTGGTCGATAGGTCGCGTGGTAACAAAACAAGACATCCAAGGTCATAACAGAAGTCAACATGAATCTACTAAGGTAATTCTAAATTAACCACTTGAATAAAGAAAATTCAGCGAAAATTTTCTTTTCGACAAAACCATTTACTTAAGCTGTATATTCGTATTTACAGTTACGAATTGATTCTTACACCTATATGAAGTTTAGATGTATATTGACTTAGTAAAGGGTGTGAAGATGGGTCCTTGATTTTGTTGTAAGTTATTTACATCATTTTCAGAAATTGATATATGAACTCGTTAGATCAATAGTTATGCAGTTTAGTAACCTTATTTTGTGAGCCATTGAGCATTTAACTTGCCTGTTGACTGAATTATTGTCGACATTTCGCTTGCTTTGAGTTGCGTGTTGGTTTAGTTATCCTCTCCAATCTTATTAGTGATATAAAATACAGTATTGTGGTTTTAGCTTGATAATAGACGTATCAGTAGTGTCTGGTTTATTAACCACTGTCAAGCAGCCTCGAGCAGTAGTTTTTCGGAGTTAGACCAACAATCGCATAGTAGCAACTACAAGAGACAATAGATTAGCAAATAAAATAGCTTCCAAACCAGGTCGCACGTTAGAACATTCATCGCGATACTATGATTCGGGCAGTGAGGTGACATCACTAATCCTTAAACAAGCAGCGGGACTCAAGGCCAAATTAAGTGCTCTGTACTTGCTATATGAGTTGCAATTGTATCACTTTCGGCTTCTAGACCATTCACTTTAATAAACATATCTATCTACGTATTTTGTAATGCTCAATAGTTCTTCCCATAAATCAAATTAATCAGTCAAATAAAGACTTTAGAGGGAAAAGGAAGTTCATTAAAGTCGAGATCAAATGGTAAGATCAAACAAACCCATTTATGATCAGCATACGCCAACAGAGACAGACAGATTGCAATCCTTAACAAAAATCAAACATATAATTGGAACAAAGACATTGATTAAGCAGTCAGTTTTGTTGGTGTCACAATATATCAGCGTACATCCGAAGCTTGGACTGATAACACGATATACCAAGGTCACATGGTGAGAATGACGGTGACCCATTGGAAGTCAATGAATCACCTAACCATTACCATCCAACAAGCACATTCCTATCCGGATTAGCCCAGTACTTTATATGTATAAATGAATCGTACACATAATCCTTTGGCTTTCAGACATTTCTAATTTTCTTCCTTTCCATATTTAGTCAAGCAAGAGTCTAGGAAGGATTAAGCATTAACCAAAGCTGATCGGAGAACATGATAAGCATTTGAAAAACTGAATCACTTACAGGCAAGTAAAGATACTGAATACTTATTGAAGTAGGTTTTGTGGTTAGTTGATACACGAACGAAGAATCGGTCCAGTGCACTCTAGTGATGAATACCACCTCCATATTGAAATCTTTCCAGTATTTAGCCAACTGGGGCTAAGTTGTGTTATAAGATTAAGGTGTCCTATCATATCCAGGAGATGGAAGTTGTGTCTAGGCTCAATACAAATAAGTACATACATAATTACCATATGCCAACTCAGCATTATTTTGATGTGATACTATCCCTGAAGAACAAATATGACGAGAACTTTCAAAAATAACCGATGCAAAAACATTGATGGACGGATTTGACCATATAGACTGAAAACATTTTGATTGGTGAAAACCAGATATTTGATAGTACAACTTGCTGACTGACTTTAAATAAACCTTGAAGGACCAGTCACTGCCATGGAAGTCCTCCTCACTGCCCTCTCGAGGTGGGGGTGTTTACGAAATTTAAAAGACAAAATGCGAATATCCAGAGCTTTAACCGGGTTGGTGGACACGGAGGAAGTTGGGAAACTGATCCCAAATTAACGGTGATATGGGCTCTAACATCCTAAGGAAACAAATGGCGTATGGACCTATTTTTGGGACTGTATTCCTAACGTTTCTCCACCACCTTGTAGACTAAACGTTTGGATCAAAAGCTCTGGGTGTGGCCCCTTGAATAAACCACCTGCGTCAGTTTACTCTCAGGCAGTATTCCAGCCCTCACACAAACCGGATGACGAAGTGTTGAGCATATATATCTAGTGCCTCCTTGAACCAATGTTTATGTGTTTAAATAAATAAATATAGGACCAGATGAAACCAGTGAACCTCTGGTATGAGCAACTTACTGATCTAATCACGTCTCCGATTTTTGACTTGATTGTAATACATTTCTTTCCTTGTTAAATTTCTGAGTCGTCAAGTGTAATAACCTGAAATGATTCACTAGGGTTTAAAAAACCCAGCAAATCATAAGGAACACTTGATATAGAATGGAACGTTTAGTTAAAAACACACAATCAATTTAAGGGAGAACTTTATTGCAGTGTGAGCCAAGAGACTACACCGACATCATATTATCGATCTACTTTAAATAACACACCGACAGTCAAATAAGTTCACTCAAATCAAATATTCAACCTTTTCGAAATAAATTGAAAAGTTTGTAAGTTGGCGACCGTACTAACTGGTCGAAATCAAAAGCAATACAGCAAAATGGGTAACACGATATTATTTTACAGAAGATTGCGCATAGAAGAGATAAAATACAAACCATGAAATCATAAGATCAATGGAGCTTTCAGCATATTTTTGCTCAAAACTGAATCCTAGAAATAATTAAATTTCAGCATAGAGAGAGAGCGTGAGGATATAGTCGGATGATTCGATGATCAAACATTTGAAGTAAAATAACAACATATTACAATGATATTCATGAGTTGACGAGTGGAATGAATGTCGTAAACATTTTATCGAAGAGAGAAAAACAATATATTTTAGTTACACAAACGGCTCCAATAAATCATTAAACAGTAATGTAGATTATAAATTTGTATGACCCATAGTTATGTAAATCCAATGCAAGTAAGGAAATATGTAGCATACTGGGTAAAAAATAATATAGCACATGACAGTTTGATTCGAGATCTGAAGATCAATTAAATTCTCCAACAGGAATTACAGCAACCCGTATACGTAAAATTGTGACCAATAAGACTACAAAGCAAAATCATTAGTTGAAACAAACTGAACATGCAAAATAATGACGTAAAAGACTGAGGATTGAAGAAACATGTGATATACCCATGTTATAAGAAAATATTGAGTGGACGAATCAGGACTATCTACAACACTGTCTTTGTTGTGTAGGCGAATCGTTTGGCGTAAGCTGTTGTCCCCCAGATGGTCTAGATGGTTCTGTATGATTAAGTAACTCCCGAGCTAAAATCGCAAGCAAGTTTACAAGGGTAGATAAATCACAGTGAATTAAAATGGAAACATTTATCAAAGTGAGACTAACATACAAACAAAAAGTTGTGATTTGCTGCATCACAAAATATCTCTATTGAGGCATCTAAAAAAACCTTAGCTTATAATGCATTTCATTTTCGACTGCTAAATGTTCCTGAAGTAATTGTCTAAATCATCTACAACCACTAAAACATTAATAGCAAAAATGCGATTTGTAAGAGTCAAGATTAATGCCATATGAATGTCGAAACACTAAGGGAATCATAAAAACCTAGAAGATAAAAAATATACCTCAGTTAAACATCAGATGTTAGAAAAATAATAATATAATACAGTACAAATGAGATAAAACTGTTATTCACCGAAATATGAACTGTTAGAAATTTCACGGAAACACTAGATTCTCATGTAAATGTTCGCAAATTTGGCATTCAGCTACATACTATTATAGATAGCTAACAATATTAACCGGCTGTTCAAACTCTAAACAGTGCTGTTACTTTCGAACCAGAAGTCCAGTAAAAATTCAGTCCTTCAACTACTAAATTAATCATTCATAGCGACAATATAAGGAAAATAATATGGATTGAAAAGACAACGCAGAACGTTAAAGAAAAGAATGGGAAAAGATCAAAATAACCTGCCTAAAAGCAGATTATTGGTCGATATCAAAGTTATGCGTAAGGAGAGATAATATCAAAACGTTATTCAGAATCTCTGTAAACATCTTTATTAGTACTAGATTAAGTGTCTTATCAAATAATCAGTAACTAGTTTAACGATTCCACTACTTAAATTTCAGCTGAAATCAAGACTGATTTTTTTATCGTTATATTAAGCTTAAGCAAACTATAGTGATACAAATGCAAACCTAACTCCGCCTGTAGCTCTCCTAGGGTTACTGCAAGTCACAAGCCTGTGTAAAGAGGGAAGATTGGGTATGGGGTCAGCAACCCCATCCCGTAGAAAACAACCTTGCTAAAGAGACATTAAATAGGATGAACAAATTAAACCACTTAAATTCTGTCCTCTGAGTTGAACGATCTTCTTTCAGAAGAACCATGACGCCTCATGATGAAAGCCGAGATTCTTAGGAAATCACGACACCGATCCTCCTAACAACCAGAGTAACAATTTGGAACGTTCGGATAATGTTGGAGACCGGGAGGACCAATCAAATAACTGTGGAAATGAGGAGATATGACTTGACAGTACTCGGAATCAGTGAAACCCATTGGACTGAATTTGGACAGAAACGATTAAATTATGGAGAGATACTACTGTACTCTGTTGCAATGAGTTGCTATGATACTGTTCAAAAAAGCATGTAAGGCATTTTTACGATGGGAATCTCATGGACTCAGGACCATCAAAGCATCTTTCGAAACAAAAGAAGAAATCACAATGAGTGTTATCCAATGTTATGCACCCACCAATGATAGCAACGACGATGATAAAGATCAGTTTTACGAGATCCTGCAATCAATCCTAGCGAACTCTTTAGGAAAGGACCTGAACATCCTCATGGGAGACCTAAACGTCCAAGTCGGAATGGAGAACACCAGGTATAAAAATATCATGGGACGACATGGACTGACAGGAAATTTATTGGCAATTCAAAAACTTTATTCCTTATGTGCTTACTAGTACAATCCGAATTTAGCGCGAAAACGAAATCGTCGAATACTCAACTTATATCAATATTATTAAGGATTCTATTTCCGTTGTTGCTACCTTGACGTGGTGGTTGGGTTTGCATATCGTGATGAAGCAACCAGCCTATACTGGCTGAAACAACCGTTACTCAAGGTCCTACCATGCCAGACAGGTCGGTTGAAGAGCGGTAAGACTAAAAGCAACAAACCCAAGGTCAGGAGACGAAGTCGTACTGCTGACTGTACAGAGGTGCGACAGCAGTAAGGTGTTTCTTTCAGACAACCAGCATAGCAACGATGCTGCCTTCCCACAAGGAAGGGTGAGGTTAAAAAACGTCGACCTTAAAAATGCACACCTCGCCTTATTTCACGGATTTCCGTCTCCGACAATAAGATACGGGACTAACACAAAACTTACGCACAGAAAGGTGTGTGACCTGCAAGTCTAACTTCATGATATGCAACATGCTCTCGCAAATTTATGAAAATTACCTATGGCAGTGAACAGTTCGGAGACATTAGTTGCAATTTTGGCTGACGTCTCCATAAATAGTAATCTATTTTTATCGGCGTATTCTTGTGCTTCCTAAAAAATAGAAAGAAAAAAACTAATTAGAAACTTCTAATATACAGAATACTGAACAAAATTAGGAAACCCTTTAAAAATGGAGCCTCTTAGAAACACTGTTGTACAATGCTTGTAAACTACGTTGAATCAGGAGTTTAAAACACGAATAAATCTAACATGTATGAAAGCTTGACGACACAACAGTTTCGATATGTTAATGCTGACAAAAAGTGGACAGCTCAAAAAACTTACGTATAAACCAAAAAATGTTCAAAACTTTTTCGAGTTACATTTAAATCTTCAGATGACAATTGAAATTTCACAGATTTAATAACTAGGAAATTGAATATTTTAAAACCACGCCCGAAGATAAGAGAATAACAGCAGATTTATGAAACTGGGAACATATATACGTTATGTATGAAAAGAGCTCAAACCACATTTTTAAGGATAATAGCGATTTGATGATGATGAAAATCCATGAGACAGGAAAGATGTGTACATTTATAAAAACGTTTCACTTGCTGAATCCCGTACCTACGTTTTTTCTAGTATCCATTACTACCACCAACAGCATATGTTATGTCTTCAACAGCTGCTTGAACGTTTTCTTATTCTATAACAGCTATCCACTATATAAGCTTGGGTGCAATAAACATGCAGCTGGGAAAGTTACTTAATAATGAACTCGAAGAAGAGTATAAATTATCTTATGAATAAACTACATTGTTTTCGAAATTCCACCCCAAAATTAATTCAAGAATTGTCTAGTCTCCAAATACAGTGATGAGTGGAGCTAGTGAACTCCGATCGGATTGGGAAGAAACACCAAGCAGTAACAGATAACCGTGATATTATGACTGACCCTTAATCGCTCTAATTTTTAACCATTGATTTCTATCATATGAGGTAACAAACAAGGCAAATCTATAACATCTCACAACTTAGGTGGGTAATCAGTGAGTGCGTTATCAAATAATATTTCTTGATACGACCAGGCCTAGCTGTTTATCAACATAATCATACTTCATTCGTCATCGCTCATGTTGGCGAATGGTTACTTATGACATACAACATGCAAACGTACACCAACTGACTTGTTCTTCTTGCAGCCACATTCCGCAATCCTGGGAGAACAAGTGAGTACTGTAACTTGAATAAATTCTTCATTCCCTACACCGTATATTACAGATATCGAGTAGCAAGGTAAATTTCTGCAAGATACTGTTTTTTAATTAAGTCAGATATCTCATCGGTGGCACATGTTAACAAATACCTTCCGCAATTACTGTCACATCCTGAAGCATAAGTGTACTTACTACTAACACTAGTCAATTGGTTAGCCTCAGGGTGGCATTTAATTTTATCAATCGAGACTCCGTAACATCCCGTTTGGAGGGGGAGGACCTAACAACCACAATTAATTATTAGGAATTAACTTCTAAATGCAGGACAAAGTCGTAGAACCTAGTACAACTGTTGACCCAAGTCACCACACACTACATCAGCATTCCAAGATGAGGTTAACAGGACGGAAAGTATAGTGAGGTTAACTTTAATCCAATGGAAAGCTAAGCATGAGAAAGTTAAGTCGACTGCATACTAAAATGAGACAAACAAAAAGACTAGCAGGTAAATGGAAACAACTGCATCAATTGTATTAAAGTGTTAAACAGGGAATATAGTTCAAGGAGTGAAATAAAAGGGTAGAAAGTACGATTACTGAAACTCAAGATTCTCCATGTGCACAGACTTATGTTACACTAAATACTTGTAGAATCGTAAGAATTACTTCTGGTAAGTAGTGTTTAGATACTTAAAGTACTAAGTCGGTGGAAAACTCATGAAAGTTAGAGGTTTGAACACATTACCTCGAACGAAACAGCTCGCTGTCCTTCGAGATCCACTTTGTTTCCTGCAAGTGCAATCACCCCACTAGTATTTGCTTTTTCTTGAAGTTCATTAACCCAGGATTTTGCACGTTCGAATGAGTTCTGGTTAGTAATATCGTAAACGACAACTGCCGCCTGGGCTCCTCTGTAGTACATAGGGGCCAAACTATGATAACGCTCTTGTCCTGAATTTAAAGGAAATTGTAGGTTTCAATAGCCAATACAGAAAATTATAGCTAGTTAGACATGTGTGTATATATTAATATTTGATTATTTATGTAACCATCTATTATCTGTAAGGTCACAGAATCAAGTCCTAGGTCCACCAAGCTACTTACTATAAGCTGATGGCATTAGCACAAAACCCGAAACAAGTTGATGCTATGAAGCTAGAATTACTTACCAAGCATAGACTTATTAATCATGCTTTAAGCTACATTTTATGTCAGGGCCAGTGATAATCTCTGTTCCCCTCGATGGAAGTAGATGGGGAGGAGCTTGAATCTACAACACACTGGTTGAAAGGTTATTGCTTCTACGTTAGTACTCTACTTTTAAATTTAATACGTGGAAAGTAGGCGTGCTTTAAAGGTGCGCTCCGTTGCCTCAGTTGAATCTAGATGGCAGAATCATTCTAATGCTTCAATTCTGTTACACTTATAGAATGGATGTTTTAATAATTTTACACTTCTAGTTTCTATGTGCAGCAAGTAAAGGCAAACCAAGAAGGCACTTTGACGTTAATCACCTCACCTCTTGGAATAAGGGGTTCAATAAGCTAAGGTAGATACATCTTGTGCTGATTTCAGATAACTTGCTTTAGTGTACAGAAATCCTGATATGTTCAGCTAAAGGAAATCTCCCAAAAAGATAAATATACGAGCAGCTCGTTAAAACTAACGCTGACATGTAGACACAGAGTATGGAAGTAGATCAGCTGAGCTGTCAGTCACACTATCCTCCTTATTATAAACATCTGACACCAACTGCATCTGCCATCAGTTAGAAAAACAGGACCTCTTAAATCAGTGTGGGCTACATATATGTGAGTAGAAGTATCAAGACACGAACCTAGCATTAGAGTACTGTTGCTTACCTCAATGAAGTGTGATACGATTGTATATACCTACTGATGATAAACATCATTAAACAGATGTTATAGTGTGACCTACTTAATTTCTTAAAGATAAGACTTTGAAATACTCAACTGTCAGTACGAGTCGCAACTGTGACACGTATACAGACAACGCTAAACTTAGTAATTCCATACAAAAAAAGCAACCAGGGTTGCGTTTCTATTTGCCATTCATTTAAGTCAAATTCTCCGAGTGATTGAAAATAATGTAGCTTAATTAGAACCATTGACAATTCTTCCCCATGTTAACGAATAAAAAGTTTCACTGTAATGGTCCCAGAGTACACTATTTGGATAACTCACTTATCATGTTACCTACGCTTTACCAACCTAATGGTGCTTCATACATAAACTACCCTAAAGCACACCGCTCTGCCCTGGTACGGCCGAGAGTGGGGAGAGTTAGTTCTCCATATCGAAATGCTCTCACGTGCACACAACCACTTTCAGGGAAGTCCTGCTTACTGCCCTCTCAAAGTGGGGGTGCTGTTTACGAAATTGAGGGAACGAAGATCGAATGCCCGTGGCTTTAACCGGGTTGGTGGATACGGAGGGTCAACCTAGGGGAGTCCGGAAACCCTTATTCCGAACCAATTGTGCACATGGGCTCCAAGATCCTAAGGAAATAAACGGCATATGAACCTATTGTCGGTCACCAGCCACTATAGGACTGCATCTCGTTACGTTGTCCCACTGCCTTGTGAATTAGACCTCTGGGACAAAGGTTCTGGGTTTGGCATCCTAAGAAAACCACCTGCTTCGGTTTGGGCACCCGGGCAGTATCCCAGCCCTCACATAAATCGAATGATTCATGTGGCTTATATCTAGTTGGTGCCTCCTTGAGCCAATATTTGTTTAAATAAATAAATAGATAAATACCCTGTATGAATAAACACCAAACATTACTAAATGGTCACGAAACAAAACAATGGTCTCGAGGCTAATATGGTCCATAAATTAACATATCCTTTATTTTCTATTTCGGGTTAGGGAAACTGAAAGGTCAGGCCTCGCGTTTAAAAGCCAAAGGACCTCGTAAATACTGAACACATGCTTTCTAAGCGGCAACCGACTCTTGAACCCACCCCTAAAAGTTTGAGCTTAATTTATTCATCTACGTTTAGGTTTAAGCATATACAAAAGTGCACTAGGGATTTATTAACAGGTTTCCTGGCTTATCCTAAAAGCAAGTAATCTGACTTCCGGAACGTCATATGCTAGTGACAGCCTGAACACTATTGGAGCTCTAGAATAGACACTCATCCAGTGACCACGCGAGAACCGACTTCTTAATTTTAATTTATCATTCAAGAACTGAAAAACAACTAACCAGCAGTATCCCAAATCTCAAACTTTACGGTTGCTGGAGGATCATTTAGGACGATCGTCTGTGTCAAATAGGCAGCTAAACGATTAAATCAGGTATTAAAAACCAACCCCCAATAGTAGCTTCTTGGTACTCACTAAACTGACACTTTACAAGTCTCAGGACTATGCTTGATTTCCCAACAGCTGATTCTCCAAGTATCACCAGTTTATGGGAGCTTCTGTTTGCCATCCTCAAGGACTACAAAGTACTTTACAAACAACCTAAAACTGTTCATATAGTCGGAAACTATGATAATATGAACTAACCAACGTCTAATAATCAAGCTGAAAGACGGAGTGAATAACAGCAGTTCCGTTGGCAAAATATTAAGCCGCCAAAAGGTACGGACCGATGCGTTAAAACAGACGGTCCAAATGGTTCTGGATGAAGAACAAGAAGCTCCCCTCCTAATGTGCTTCTCTATATGGTAGCAGTGAGTCGACGATGCCTTCGTGTAAGAACATGGGTATATTCAACGATAAAAGTTGAAGTTAGACATTAACACCGTTGGATGCCGGCTCAGTGGTCTAGTTGGTTCAAATGGTTCAAATGGTTGTGGACGGAATAGAAGAAGCTTTCGCTCAACAGGATTTCGTTTCTAGTAGCAGGGGATCACCAATACCTCCAGGCAGGAACCTAGGTATGTTAACAATAAAAGAGGAGAAATAAATTGGTAAGTCATAGTGTGATACTATCCTTAATCCTTAAGAATAGATCGAGTTGCCTCTTAAAGGACTCCTGGGTAGTCACTTGGACTAGCTCGGCCGGCAGCGAATTCCAGCATTTGATAACTCTTAAGGAGTAAAAGTTGTGTCTACAGTCCGTCCTGCTGTATTGTGTCTTTAGTTTCTGGATGTTACCCCTTAGGTTAGTGTTGGAACTAAGCTTAAGTAGGTGTTTAAGAGGATGTCCAGAAGTGTTAAGGTCACTGTACGCCATCAGAAAGTCACCTCCAAGACGTCTATACTCTAATGGGTAAAGGTTAAGTGATTGGAGGCTCTCTTCATAAGGTTTAAACTTGTTGTTGTCGTCTGCCCAACTTTGAAGTCGAGTCAGATCCTCCTGAAGTGCCTGTATGTCGTCTTGGTTGCGTATCTCTCCCCAAAGTTTCACGTCGTCGGCAAAAAGTAATAAGTCTGACGATACCTGTTGAGGAAGACCATTTATGTAGATCAAGAAGAGAAGAGGTCCTAGTGCTGAACCCTGGGGGACCCCACTAGGACATTCCATAGCCTGAGATAAAGTGAAACTAACCCTGACCTTAAAATGTCGATTTTTCAGGTCTGAAGTGAGCCGATCGATTAGAGGTGGTCTGATACCTAATCGTTTGAGCTTATTGATAAGACGTGTATGGTTAACCTAATCAAAAGCTTTTGAGAAATCTAGGTAGATGGTATCAACCTTCCCCTTGTGATCGAGGATGCTTGTCCATCTGTCAACCGCAGTCAGCAGGCTGGTTATACAAGAGTAACCCTTCCTGAAACCATGTTGTTGGGGTGAGAAAAAATTTAAGAACAGTAAATAGTCATTTATACCATCGCATATCAGGGACTCCATGATTTTTGAAGGTATGGAGAGAAGAGCCACCGGTTGGTAACTTGAAGGTTCTCTGCGTCGACCTCCTTTGAAAATTGGTGTGATGTGAGCCAGCTTCCAATTTTCCGGTAGTTTTCCTCGGCTTAGCGAGTGTGAGAACATCACGCAAAGCGGCATTGCCAGGATTGAGGCTGCTTCCCTCAGTATAGCAGAATGAACCATATCCGAGCCTGGAGAAGTGCCAATTATTAAGTGCTGCAGTTTCCGGAACACCAAGTCAGCGCTCAGGTTCACTTCGGAAAGTCCTTTGGAATTTCAGATGAAGCTTTCGCCAGTATAGTTTATGTGGGTCGGTTGAAATGTCCGAAAGTATTGCTCAGCCAATAGGTTAGCGGCATCGCCGGCGTTATTGGTCGGGTCATTAGGACCTTGCAGTTGGGAAGCTCAAGTTTCGGCTTGTCGAAGAGAGGCTGCATAACGGAATAAGCTCTTCAGATTGAAGACAAATTTATCCATAAGCTTTATCTGGTACTGGAGCCTGTCTTCTCTTATAGCCTTCGTGCATATATTCCTTATATGTTTGTATTGCCTGTAGGCTCCGTTGTTGTCAGTCCGTTTGTATTCTGCCCAACAGTGCCTTTTGCGGCTTAGCAGGCGAAGGGTACGGTTCTTGATTACTGTAGGTGGCTTGCAGCTTTTGGGGACCGTTTGAGGAACTGAATGATTTGTAGCACGTAAGAGCGTGTGCAGTAAGAAGTCCCAATGAGCATCCACATCGAGTTGACGGTAAACATCCCAATCCACCCGTTGTAGATATTCCTGTAGAGCTGACACATTCAACCGTTTGAAATTCCAGCGCAATTTGTTGGTAGGATATCTTAGCTCAGCTTTGCTGACAAAACTGAAGGCTATGACGGCGTGATCGCTTTTTCCCAGGTGAGCCAGGATTGAGAGGTTGTAAACTAGGAACTATTCGTTTGTAAATACACAGTCTAAGCGCGACGGTGTCTGACTGTTTCTCCAACGAGTTGCCGACTTCACATTTTCGTATAATCCCAAGTCCTCAATGAGGTTGAAGAACCGAGCTTCAGTTGAGTTTTCATCTCCAACGTACGTATGTTCCGCGAAGTTGACTTTAGGGAGATTGAAGTCCCCTAAAATCAGGATATGAGTGAAACCGAGACGAGTAGAGAGGGATAGTCCTTCCAGCATACGACTATCGTACTCGACGTCGGTGGTGGGCTTCCCATATATGACTCCGACTAGACATCTTGAAGTAGCAGACAATCTTACAGAGCATCATATAGATTCCTCAAGATTGTTAGACTCGAGGTTATGAAATTGGTGTGCCTCCAATCAAGATCGTATGTACACGGCTACCCCACCACCAGTTCCTGTTTTTCTGTCGTTGCGAAACAAAGACATCCCAGGTGCTGCTAACTCCTGGTCCGAGAACTGAGAAGCTATCCAAGTTTCAGTTATTCCTATCAGATGAACCTTAATCGTATTGCTAAGTTCACGTAGCTCATCCATTTTGTTTGGTAGACTCACGGCGTTCATGTATAAGCAGTTTATGTTTTCAATTTGAAACGCGTGAGCTTCTTCCTGTTTGTCTGTATGTGAATGGACAGTTAGCCTACTTATATAAGGTTTGCCGAGTTTGTAGACCCTGTCCTTTACACGTTTCTTTTTATCGTCTAGACAGTCCACAAGTGGAATGGTCAGCTCTATCTTGCTTTCTGTTTGGTCCTAGCTTCATATGGCCTATCCGGGTGCATGTGGATTCCAGGTGGCAGTCGACGTCTACTGGCACGAAATGCTTCCAGAGTTGCAGCCGCCATATGGGAAGATGGGAAGGCTATCTTCATTAGACGGGGTCTAGAATCACCATCCTTCTTGGCTAGTCTCGTCACATGCTGAGTCAGTATGTGTTTGAGCCTCAAGGACTGTTTGATGAATTTCCATTCCCTGTTTTCGGAGTTTGCTTAGTTAGGGTTCGTGTTTTCCGGTACCCCTTGCACAATTATATTCCTTCCGCGGAAAAACTCGCGAGATCCTTTAGGGATGTTCCGGATGAGATTGCGCTCAGAATACGGTATGTCAGGCAGTATTCTTACATTCCCATCTGATTTCAGTAAATGACTCGCTAGCAAGACATCCTCTACGTAGGTAGCATTCTTAAGTGTTACAAGAACTAGCCTCGGGTGATTTCGATGCTTAGACTCCTTTCCCCGAGTGAGCCGTGTGACTGTCAAAGGCTCTATTCTTGGAAGTTCAAGTTTCTTGTTCAATTCTCCCCAAAGCATCCTGTCACTTTTGTCCTGCAAACTGAGAGGAAGGTCGGGTTGTCTTTGAGGTTCATGATTATAAGAGAGATATCACGAACCGTTATTGTCGTCCCAGATTTTCCGGTGCGTTCAGGTTTAGCACCTTGTTGTTCGGAAGTCGAAGCACGTTTATGAACCCTAGGCTCTTTGATGACCGCACGGACATTCTTGGGGGTAAACTGTGCGGTCAAATCACCAGTTGATTTCCGTACAACAGGTGGGATGTTCAACTTAGACTGTGACGCCTGGTCCTTTTTAGCTCTTTTGACATGGATCTAATCACCTAAAAAGTTTTTGGGAACTACTGTCGCGTTCAAGGACCCTGAGCTGTGAGACTCGAGTTTACTGAGGGAGTTGAGTACCGTCGACGTAATGATGGTACTGAGTTTCAACGTGTCATCATTAGTAGCATACCTGTCGACATCCCTATTCTTGTTTTCGTTGCGCGCCCTTGTTTGTCTACCCGTTTTATGACTGTCATTTTCCAAGCTTGCTGACAACTTATTCCGCAGACCTGTCAATTGGAAAATGATATTATTCAGCAAAACTACAGCATCCGTGCTGCACGTAACACATTCTCACTTATGATCCGAATTGCTGAGTCAGTTGTAAGCAGTTGCTGTGAGATCTGTGCACGCTTCGTGGAACCAACCTTTGCAGTTGTCGCACTGCATGCCAGATGTAACGGAAAAACGGCATCCAGGTCGTTTGCATGAATTTTTCATGACTGTATTGACGTGAACTGTGTTGTGGATGCTAGCAAAAGCCTAAGACCGTTAAAAATACACTAAAAAACACTAAAAACGGACAAAAATGGATAAAACGGATGAGATAAACTGAACTAGTCTTTACGTGAAAAAGTGAAAAAAAACCGAATAGTAAGCTGAGACAAAGCCACAGTTAACTATTAAATTGGGTGAAACTCAAAAAGTAATCTACCGAACGTACAGCTCGGGATAGATTCTTCTGATCAGAAATGTTATGACTTTAAGTTGGGTCGATTTTTATTCTGTGCTAATTGTTGTGTCCTTGACTGGAAAATTAGAGAGCAGCGTACTTATCGATCGATTCAATGACACGTAAACACGTACGGACGGCCTAGAGTCTCTATTGGTCTCGCTTCCCTGTCTAGCCCAGTCAGTTGAGTCCAGAACACAAGTCACAGCCTCGGAGATATGAATCAAATAATAGCCAATAGGGGATGAACATTTTAAGTCCAAGGCCACCATAGACTTAACACGATAATTATTGGTATATTTTTCCGCATCCACAACAAGAAATGGTACTTTTGTTGCGTAAGAACACAGCAAAAGTTTGATAAATGCTGATCACACTAAGACGTTAGAACAAGAAGCTCTCCCCTAATGTGTTTCTATATCTGGTAGCAGTGAGTCAACGATGCCTTCGTGTAAGGACATGGGTATATTCAGCGATAAAAAGCTGAAGTTAGACATAAACACTGTTGGATGCCAGCTCAGTGGTCTAGTTGGTTTAGCCCCTGGCGCGAGACTGACAGGTCCTGGATTCGAATCCCGTGAGGCGAGGTCATGGATGTGCACTGCTGAAGAGTCCCACAACAGTGCTTCCAGGTTTTCCATGGTGGTATAGCTTCAATTGACTCATTATCTAAACTGTTCAAAATT